CACCCCATACACACACACAACAGTGATCTTCAAGCCAGAAAAGTGAAGAAAGCCCTATGTATTTGGAATTTTTCTTGCTGATGGGTAAATATTCAAGGCTTATGGGTCGGAGAAGGTCCAAACTTATGGTTTTATCTCAACAGCACATTAGTGATCATCAAAAGAAATACATCTCTGCCTGTTGGTAGCTTCCGTAGGGATGTCTTTTATCCTACACCTGTGACAATTACCCTGTGTTAGTGAAGCTAACAGGAGTCAGGCCACAGGCCAAGGGTCAGGGCACTGTCAAAAGGAAGTTATCTTCAGTCCACTAAATCTCTTATCATTTTCATCTAATGAGATATCCACCTGCCAGTTAGAGAATGTATGCCATTGTCTTGTTCTAAGTGCTCCACTTTCTACCTCAAATGGAGTACATTTTATTACTTTTCTTATACTTTCCATTTTCTATCTTTACATTTTTATTTTCAAAATAAACACACTAAGCTAATAAATGTTTCAGAGTGCTTAACTTTTGATAATAAAGCAGAATGAGAAAGGGTATTAATAGCAGGTTTGGGGTATCCATGTTTGTTCCTTTGATTGATGTATGGTCATATGTGATAAACTGAGTCAAAGAAAAAGAATTGACTACATTAATAATGAAATGAGTTATGCCAGAGAAATAATGAATGGCAAAACAGCTCTACAGTTTCATGTGTGCCTAAGCAAGTGAGTGTAGGCTCACCTCAGATGTTCTCTGGAGTAGCACAGCATCATGCTAATGAGCATGTTTCTAGGAAAGAATAAAGCATCTTCTGAAAAATATTTTAAAATATTTTCAAATGGACTTCAGTTGAGTTAAATATATATAGATGGATCTGCTTATGCTACACTCCTATATAATGAAATTCCATTTAGCATGTGATATAGCTGAAGGCTCAGTTATCCCAGGGTATACAGTATGCAAATTGCAATTCCCCTTGTCAGGAGATTCAACTCACAAGGAAAATGTTGTCTCAAAGAATCTTATTTGGGAAAAAAAAAAACTTGGATATTTCAAAGCTTTAAAAGAGCAGGATAAAAGTGACTCAGGTTGGGTCATTTAGACCTTATTTCTCATTGCAAGGAGACTCAATCACAAAGAAGCTTCCGGCTATCTTTTGTGACCAGAAAAATGTAAAGTAAATCTCAAGCATTTTATACGCTCTTTTCTTTCTGGCAACTCCATAAGAATAACATAGTAGGATGAGAAGTTTTAGAATAGAACTCAAGAGACCACATGCTTTAACATCAAATCTGCTATTAGAATGTAGACTAGCATGGTCTCAGTTTCCCCAGCTGTCAATTGGTAATGAGAACTCATTAATCTCAATTCTATGCATTTTAAAAATGATAACAGCATCTTTTCTATACTCAGGGATCAAAACCTCTCCTCTGGGTTTTATCTTATTTTATATATAAATATATATAAGATATATAGATCTATATGTTATCTCTCTCTCTCTCTCTCTCTCTCTCTCTATATATATATATATATATATATTCTATATATATTTATTTATATAAAATTTATGTATCTATAGATATATAAATTTATATATCTATATCATATATATATATATATATATATATATTTATTTATCTATGTATAAATAAATAGCCTTGAAGACAGGAACATTGGTCTTCATTTTTTCACCTTAGCAGAGTGCCTGTTGAATTAATGAATGAAGAAATGATTCTCAGGGTGACTATACATCCTGTTCTATGCCTTTTTTTATGTTTAATTATTAATAAGACCCACTCACTTTCAAAAGTGCCCCAGTTTGGATGACAAATTATATGATATTCATCATTTCCTCAATGGAAGTAGAAACTACTTATATTACCAATTTACTTGAGATCAATTAATGTCACTCAAACTCCTCTTTTCTTTACAAAATAACTCCAATTCTTCTAACTGTCTTTATCTTCTGTTTTAGAGTTTGGAGATTATTTTAGTGAACAACTGAAGCATAGATTTGGGCTTCTACATTTGCTGTCATTCAATATTTAAATCACCAAGTTCCAAAGACAAGCTGGAGTTCTTTGCAGATTTAAGGTTATAATATTCTATGAAATATCTCTAACCTTTCTTGGGTCTTCAGAGACTGCATCTAAAGGTCTCACATTTGGGTAATTATTATTTCAGGTAACCAGCCTTGTGTCTTATTTGTCATGGTTATACATAAAACTGTCTATTATTACAGTTTGGGGGGAGAATAACTGTCTACCAGCTTGCAAATAAACAATATGATTCAATAGGTTTAGGACATGCTAATTCTGTAGAAAGAATACACTCGAGATAGTAAGAATCGGGTATTTCTTGTCTTGATGATAACTGCTATAATAAATGATAACTTAAAATATGAAGTACAT